CAATAAAGCTGATAATGCCGAGCTGAAGTTGTTTTTGGAAGTCGATCGCGGCCAGGTATCTTTTGTTATTGATAAGTTTGATTCTAGAAAGCACCTATACGGAGCCGGAGCTGGTTTGTCGGTGTCCAACATGCTCCGACACGTGTAGGGAATGCAAGATGGCATCCCCCCTCCCCCCTTTAAGGAGTAATGCTATCCATCCAGTTTGTAACCCCACCGGGATGAATAACATTACTCTTTTTTAAGAGCCAGACGCATCACTGACTCGTTGACCCAGAACCTACACCCACAAGCCCATTTCCCCATAGTCAAACCAAGAAAAAAAAACTACTTTGAAAACAAGTTTGTGATTTGAAAGCACTATTAGGTATTCTTGTCAATGTCCAATGGCTGTCTGCGGAAGAGAGTAGGGTCTGTGTTGGGACTCTACAAGAGGAGTAGGAGATTAGTGATAGAAGAAAAAGAAGACACCTCATCTGTGGAAGAGAAAGCAGCCCGGAGAAGGGTGGAGAGACAAAACCCTAAAGTGAAAAGAAGGCAGGCCTTAGTAGGCGCACAGGGAAATTGAAGAGACAAAAAACTAAAGCATTTAAGAGTTGAATGGACAAAAATGTTTAAAACCTAAAAGGCTAAGAAGTACAGAATTTAAAAACCCATTACTTAGGAGGCAGTGTTCAATGTGCTTATACTATTATAAAGAATAAAATAGTAAAATATAGTTTTATGCTATTTTAATTAACGAGTTCTTCACATGTCGTGCCCTACTTTTGTGGCATTTGATAGTTGCTGATTAAACATTGTTACAGATTATATTTTTAGAATAGGAAATAAGTATATTTGATTCTAATTTATAGGGATTTGACATAATTAGTTCCTTCCTAATATAGGATTTGTACCTTGTATATATACCTAAGAGATTTATGAATACAAAAGAGAAATTATTTTGTTCCTCTCATATTTACAAACATCAACATTGAAACACATCTTCCCTCCTGTTTGACTGTATTTTTTATAATTATGTTGAATGTGTAGGATCTGCATCCTGTTCCTCCACCTGACAAAAATATGGAAGATATACTTCTGTTTTTTAAGCTTTATGATCCTGAGAAAGAAGAGCTCAGGTAATTTTTAACTTTTCAAAAGTTGAGTATGTGGATACCATCTTCACCTTTTAATTGTCTTTTGGCCATGTGATTTAATTTTTTATTTATTTTCAGGTATGTTGGTAGATTTTTTGTGAAAAGCTCTAGCGAGCCGATGGAGATCCTGATAAAACTAAATGAATTGGCTGGATTTGCTCCTGATGAAGAGATTGAACTGTTTGAGGTTTGTCTGATCATACATGGGCTATGCAACTGTATATTATAGTATGTAAATCATACACATTATATTTAATATGCATTCTTTTTAATTGAACATCATTACATTTGCCAATGCTCTTAATTTTAATTTCTGCAGGAAATAAAATTTGAGCCTACTGTCATGTGTGAACGCCTTGACAGAAGAGCTTCATTTAGGTTTAACCAGGTATTTAGTGTTGTGCTTTAGTTTTAGCACTTGAATGTGTTGATCTTTCTTTCTTTCTTTGCTTATTCATCTTCTTTTTCCTCCCTCTCTCTCTCTCTCTCTCTGGCTCTCTCACTTCTCCTAGATTGAAGATGGGGACATAATTTGTTTCCAAAAAAAGCCTCTCCCTGAAGGTGAAGAAAAGTTTAGATATGCTGAAGTTCCTTCATTTTTGGAATATGTGAAAAGTCGCTAGGTCAATCTTGTACTTTTATAATATGCTTCAAAGTTCTTCCATTTTCCTTTTGATAACTAAAATAATAAATGTGGAGCATTAGACCTTTATACTGGCCATCTTCAGGAATTTTTTGGTTTCTATGTTATGTTATCTTGCATTTCAAGTTTTTGGTTAATGGGCTGTATAGTGTGTAGTTAGCCCCTTTCACCCAGACTTGTTTGCTTTTGATCCTTTTCCTTTATTTTCCTACCCCTTTCTCTTGGGAGTAGGGATAGCAATAGG